TTTCTGTAATTTGTATACCTACTTATCATTTAAAAAATAAATAATTCTTTATAAAAAAAAAAGTGATAAAAAAGCGCGGAATCTAGAACACTCCATATTCCTGCGCCTGCGCCTGCGTTGAAAAATATACATTAGAATTGTTTGTTGAAAATTCGGAAGAAAAAGAATAGATGATATGACGAAAATTAAATCATCAAAGACCTTCGTCGCTGGTTTCACTCGTCCCAAACGTGTCATTCGAATTTAAAGTCGTTTGTGCAAATTCGATCGTTGACATTTTAACTTGGCGATACATACAAGTGCTTATTAATGGCCTTGGTCGCGACAATCCTTTTTATCACCTCCTCGTTATTATCTAAGCCTTCTCGGCCCGTTCTCATTAAATAACTTTTTTAACCTTAACACAAAAACACTCTTAATTTTCGTATTAAGACTATCATATGAAAATTATAATTCCACTATACGCATATACTTAACATACTGTTGTATCTATACGTGCAAAAAGTATGCGCGGCTAATATGCATATCGCAACTTTGATAATGCGTAATCGCAAACATTGTGTAGACTCTAATGACGCGATAAAAATGCGTTACAATAACGAGAACGACAGACAGTCATATATAAAGGACGAAAAAAAAAGCAAATATTTATCAACGCGCGATTATGCATGTATCGTAAATATACACGATGTTTCACGACGACTGTGCTTAATTTTAACAACAGATACTACGAACAATTTGGAGCAGATTCTTCCTCAACTAAAACCATCGATATGTCAACATGCTTCTCAAATTACGAACGATTAAAAATAAAGAAGTTTTCCCAAATTATGTTTTAGAAAGAAACATATAATAAATATAATATAAATATAATAGTATGTGTATATATGTATATATATCTTTATTTAAAAATATTTTTCTATTGTATATGTATAAAATTTATTTTTGCTTATAATACACATTTCTCTCTCTTTCTCCTTCTCTCTCCTTCATCTTTCCCTTTAATTTTAAATTTAATTCATCTCAAAATTAATTCGAGATTTTTTAATTATCATGATAATTAATACATTAAATATATTAAAGTGATAAACGATGGTTTTTTTCTTTTGAAATAGAGGAAAAATCGTCTCGAAATTCGACCGATTCTATTATTATGATAGAGGACAGATTATGTAAAACATCTTGTATATCGGGAGGAAAGAAAGCAAGAAGTAAAGTAAAAGGACAGAGATGAAAGAAAAAGCGCAGGACATAAGTGACGATAATGAGAGAACGAGCTCTGAAGTTGGGGCTAGAGGAACATTCGAAAAAGACTTTGCTCCTCATCAATATTTTCACGTTCTCACACACACGCGCGCGCGCGCGCGCACACGCTCACACACATTGACAGTTCTAAAAAAAAGAGAAAAAAGAGAAAGACGAATAAAATAAATACACATTATAATGGAAGATTCATACTAGATGAAATTTTATGTACAAAGGTAATGGAGCACGAAATATGTAGTAAAAAGAGGCAGAAAGGAATGCCTCGAAAAATAATGGAGAAGAAAGGAAAGAAGAGTATTCTATATAAAAAGATAATTATGTGCACTCGTGTATTTGTGAATTGCATACGAGTCTCTTGATCAAAACATTTGATGCATCTCAGGAGAATGTGTCAGCGATACGCCGTGGAACGCAAATTATTCGTATTAACGTATTTAACATTATTTCCTTCTTGTACTCCTCACAGAGATGTACAGGAAGGAAATAAGTGTTAAATATACGTCACACGCGTATCGAATATACTAGGTAAAATTATAACCAATATTTAAATGAAAAATAAAAAAAAGATAATTGATAAAACATAAGTGATGAATAATGTGACATTTAAATGATTTAAAAATAAGTTTTATCGACGCTTGCTGTCAAAATTTTATACCTTTCTTTGTGAAATCATATCTCTCACTTCGATGATTCGACTAGAAATTGTCTTTCATCTAATTCCTTCGGAATGATTTTCAAGAGTTCTTATGATTACACTTATCGTAAACTAGAGTGCCGATGTAATAAAACTGTACGTAATAAAAAGCGCAGAAAAGCATTACGTAATAAAAAACCGTGTAAAATTCAGCCTTCAAAATTACGAATTGGTAGATGACTACCAACGAAAATTTGCATATAAAATGGGTTTTACGAGATAAAAACATGGATAGATATACATACTATGATACTATTCTACCACATTATTCGTGGCCAATGTTTTACTGGACATTAATCAAACACTTGTAGAAAATTGTCCGATTGGTGTCAGATAAAAGGTGATAAATATTAAATTGTATCACAAAAAATTGTTCTTTTTTCTCTATCTAATGAATATTGAATTTATATAAGAAAGAAATATTTTTTATTAAATAGTATTATATAGATTAATATTA